AAATTAGACAAGAAAAAGCATAAAAATAATGTGTGTTATAAAAATCAATAAAGAAATAATCACTATTATCTTTAGCCCCACGGTGGGTGCCAAACTGTTTACCTCGAAAATAAGAGTAACAGTTAAATTTGATTAGTGATTTTAAAGATTTGTGATTTAGTTCAATACCAATTGATGTTTTAAGCGTCAATACCACACAAGAGGGGGTGATTTTTGTGGTACCCAATTTTTGCTTAACTGAACTATAGAAGAACCTGCTTCTTCTAGGTATTCCAACAACTACTGTTTGCGGAATAATAAATACATAAAATAAAGAACACAGAGATTTTTATGTGGAAAATACCTGGCTCAAAAGGTGAAAAAACCACGACCTACTACTCAGTAGGATTTTCCCAAACTTCCACTAAAATCACTGAGCCAAAACAGCATTTACAAAAACTCTTTGTAAACCTAAGGATTAACTCTAATCCCATTGTGGCACACAGCCTCAACTGTTGCGACAACTTCAAGTTAGCTATAACTTGAATACTCTAGGTACCTAATACAATTGCTTCTACGAAAGCTGAAAGGCACAATTTTAAACCACCTACTACAATTGAACTAGACTAAAAGATAGACATAATCGAACTGGTTCTTCTATCTTGTTCAAGTAGCTTCAGGAGCGCACACTCAAATCATACATAAATTGGTTGCAAAATCACCTTGCTCTTTTGCTCTCAATTTAGTTTAACTTCTGCGTATGTGCATTACATGTAAAAGAGAACAACATTTACATTTAATAGGTTAGTAACCAGAGTTTGATTGGGACTCAATTGCTGCTCTTCTATCGTGGAAGAGTTCATAATGATCTCAAACTCTAACACTATCTCCATCCTAGATTGTGTTCTCTTCATATAAGGAGACTTTCTCCCCTTATCCAATATGCAACCTTTTCGATCAGATCAGGAGATATTGCTGCTTGATCAGTAGGACTTTATCTCCTTCACGTGCATCTCACATGTATAGGTTGATCATGACTGTTGCTTCACAAGATGGACTTGGTCCATGACTGAGTTCTTTTATCAATCTTCAAAACTTCACATGTTCTTGGGCCAACACCAATTAATAATCAAGAAATATGAAGTAGAAATAAAAGATAGAAGTGAATCAAACCAATATTACTTAGGAGCAGTGACCTCGAGGTGGCTTAGGGCAGTAAGAATAATTAAATAAGAAAATCAAAGTAAGAACAATAGAGCTAAAGGACAATTCTGATGAACACTAGGCAAAAAGTAGAGAGTATATTCTTTGCTTAATGATTAGATGATGTTACAAATGATTGAGGTCCCCTTTATATAATAGGGAACCCTAAATAAGGAATATTTCTATTTACAGTAAGGAATATTCTTAGTAGAACTGTCTAATCGCCTAGTACGGAATCGTACAATCATATTCCGGGATTTGCGCCATGACTTTGGGGATGTGGCAGGAATCTAACTTGTTCTGGTACAAATCCATAACGGTACTATTTCGGGGTCGATCACACTCGACCTCGGTATGCATCGTGCTTCGCCTTCGAACTCGAGTCTGGTCCCTCGAGCTCGAACTTGATCTTGCTCGGACTCGAACCTAGGACGGGCCCTCGAGCTTATAAGTCAGAGGCAAACGATTTTGACCATATACACAGTTAAATACCTTTTATCGAAAAATTATATATATATAATGTGTATATAAATTAATTTTTTTGATATATGTAGAACATACTTAGTGAAATTCTAGACTTCGCCATAGCTAGCCAAGTGATGCTTCTATGGTCCTCAGTGTTCATATCATTGACATATAGGATTTGGACAGTAAACTCGAAATCAAATTATGAGTTGAACTCTAAGTATTTAAACCCTAATTCTACTATATACGATTATATTTTTAAAAGATGAAATCATCTTGAACAATGATTAAACATATTGTGATTGGCAATACTTGAGTTATATTCAATTGTTGATTAGGTGTAAAACTAACCTATATATAGTGATTCATGGATTCGTTCTACCAAATACAAAAATTAATCAATTTGGTAATCAACCCAATTAGAGATAACTTTCACATCAAGCTAAGTATGACCATGAGAGAGGCAGTGTTCTATATATGCACCGATAATATAAAAAAGTTATATATTATCAATAGTCAAAAAAAAAAATTACAGTAACTCATTCGTAAAAGTGAGACTCCTTATCTTGAAATAACTATGATAAGTAAAGGTAATTTGATAGTGTAAAAGTTATATACGATAGTGTATATAAGTTAAACTCAAGATTAATTTTGTATGCTTTACATAATTTTCAGGTTCAAACGTGCTATATTCTATTTGTCTTAGGAGATGAGACTAGAATGACTCAACAATTATGCGCTAGTTATGTCATTTGAGGAACTTAGAAAATAGATTAATTAATGAATTTGGCTTTTTTGTGAGGCAAAAGTTCAGAATAGTGGCAATTAGTTGGAAAAAGAAAAAGTAGAATTATGGTAGAACTATACGAGAGAGATGAGAAGAGGACGGAATCAAGTTTAAGGCAAATATAATTAGTTGGTTGGTGGGGCCAGGATTGATGGAGCTATATATAATAATTAACTAAGAAAAAAGTTAAATATTATATTTTACTTCATATAGAGTTAAATTAGTTTTAAAACTCATTTACTTCGTTTATCTTAACATCAATAATTGAAGTGGAACTGTTGATTAGTGCTGTCAAACTTATTGTTTTTAAGATAAAGACAAATTTGCAGGAGTGGACTGAAAACTTTGCTAAGAGTCGGCTAAATTAAGGGGAAATTAAGAAGGGAATTACTAGATATTTCATTTAAAATAATAACTTTGGTATAATTTTCTTGAGACTGTTTGGATTATTTCTTTTGAGTTGTCTAAATAATTAATTATTTGCTAGCAACACAGTCCTTAAAAACATGGGATAACATAAAATTGTATGTAAAAGCAGCACTAATGCAACGTAGCTAGTTAGTGCTGCTTTTACATACAATTTTATGTTATCCCATGTTTTTAAGAACTGTATTGCTAGCAAATAATTAATTATTTATTTATCAAACACTAGAATACACTCTTCTCACATGCACTATCAATACTTACAATAAAATCATAAAGGTTGATGTAAAATGGCAGCCGCCACCAAAAGGTTGGTTTAAGATTAATATCGATGGTGCATTCAAAAGCAACTACCTGGAAGGGGATATCAGAGGAGTAGTTTGTGACTGCAAAGGGAAATGGCAGACATGATTCTACAAGAAAATTCAAGCAACATCACCAATACAAACGGAACTCCAAGCTTTTCGGCATGCACTTCAACTAATTATTAGGGAACACACAGTTAAAGTAGAAACTGATGCCACAAAGGTTATACGTTTCCTTCATGAAGATTACCCAACTTACAATAACATAATTTATGAATGCAGATGGTTAATGGAAGAGGCATCCAGGCAGGGAACAATCACATTGAAGCATAACTTTCGCGAAGGAAATATGGTGGCTCATCTTTTGGCAAAAGCAGCACTAATGCAACGTAGCTACAATAAATTATGTACTTTTGTTTTGCCACCTGAATTTGTTGTAGATGTATATGACAAAGATCAGGTTAGACATATATATGCTAGAAACTGTTCTAAAGACCAATGTGGTCGTATGGCTGCTTTAGGAAATAATAGTGCCTTACAAGGCAAAATAGTAGCTTATGATGGCATATGTACTAATGACAATGTTAACGGGCATTAGCCCTACCTATGTGTTAATATAAGTACCTTTTTTTCCTGCTCAAAAAAAAATTGTATGTAACCTAACCCCCACCCCCCACCTCCCACCTCTTCAAAAAGTAGAAAAAAAATGTCACAAAATATATAGATGCATTGAAAACCAGTAACATGCCTTGTCCTCATTCTTTACCGAAAACTAAATTTTTTTCCCGATATTATAAGTTTTAGAATTAGTCATTCCTATATATAATATAAAACTATGTTAGAATTTTTGGAACAAAACAAAATATTGGGTCGAATGATAAATGGATAGGACTAAAATTTATAGGCTTCATTTGCTAGTTTTGCGAATGTAATATCATTATTTTCTTGAGCAAGATCAGTTCTTCGTTGCGAGCTTGATATCATCATGTAAATATTAGATTAGCTTTTTTTAATTGTAAAAGATATATGGTCCAGCTTCCTGTGAGCTTTCAACAAGTCGTAAAAAAGAAAAAGCGTAAAGTAAGAGAAAGTGTACTAAACAGTTTAAAAAGAAACAAAAGATAACATGATGGCCTTAAACATGTGTACTACGTACATAACTTGTTTATATTCCTAGGATACACATACAACCACTCATGTCAAACACCTTCATTCGTACGTATCACACCACACACACTAGTATTCATATTATCACTTTCAAATTTCTATTTTATGTGACATATTTTTAATCTTTTTTAAAAATATAGTTTACAATTTTTATTTTATTTTTAATGACATGATTTTGGTGGTACTACATTCGATACGAAAACAAAATTTTATCAGAAGATACAAATTAAAAGTGATATGTAAAACTTGTAAACCACATTTGATTTAATTGTTAATAATAAGATAATTTTGATTTTTTTCATATTAAGTTTAATTCTTATGTCAAAGGTTTTTATTTTTTAATTGTACTGTCAATTACTATCACATCAAGAGAAAGAGATATTTATAAGTATGGAGACAAAGAATATACATTATACTAAAATACAATGTCTTGTGTATAGTATAATTAATCTTTTATTCCTATGTGTATAAGTAAGTATTAAATACACATATTCTTAATTACCAAAAAAAGTACTAAATACACATATTCTGTATATTTAATTCTACCAACAAAAAAAAATTGAAAAAAGCAAGCCAATGGTGGCGGCTTTTGGTGTGTTTCCTGGTGACAACATGTGTTGAAGCTCCTCTTAAACGTGGCGCTTTCGACAGTTTTGTCTGTCCAAACTCAAAGACCTTTTCTTTCCCCACCCCCTACTAACCCACCTACCCTCAATTACCCACCTACCCACTAATACCACCCTACCCTCACCTTCAGTTCTCTCCATAGACTATATCCATAAACTCAACATATAAATACACAATAAATATAAGATCTTTTTCCCATATTATTCGGTGACGTACAAACTTCTTTATTCTTTAAGTTATTGTAATTACACCTTACACTTGCATAAGAATCAAAAGCTAACTCTTCTGGGGTTTATGTGAATTCTAAGGTATTTCTTCATATTCTCTGTTTTCCTCCGTTTCATGTTTTTTAGTTTTGTTATTTGCATGAGCTGATCAGTTTTACTAATTCTTGATTAGTAATATTAATTTTGAGTGCTGTTGATGCTAATGCTATTAATTGTTATTAAAGTGTGTAATTATGGGGTCTATATTTTTTATCTTGAAAAGTCACGAGTAACGTTCTCTGTTCATTTAATTCTTCCCCTTATTTTGAATTTCTAAAGTTCTTGAATCCTGTTAAAACATCAGTTCCTTTATTAGTACTAATTTATTTAATACGTTTTTATGAGTACTTTATATTGGAATTAAAATTATGAATTTCACTCCTTTTGTTTGGGTAGAAAAAGCTTCTAATTGTTATTTCTGTGCACAGCTGAAGTTTCTTTCTGCAATTCCGGTGAGAGTATGTGTTATTAATATTTTTTCTTAATTCTGAGTTCTTGTTGATTTTTGTAAAACTTTTAGTATGAAAAATCATTCTATGGATTGAAATTTTGATTTGAGTATCTCTGTTCTTGTGGGCTATATTTCTACTTTTGCAAATCTGGACTTGCATGCTAACAAAATAAGGTGGCAAGTAGAATTAGCCAACATTGTTTATCGCCTACATGCAAAATTTTCCAAAATTTTCAATCTTGATTACAAGAACCTTTCTGGAATTGTACCTCTTTGGGGTGTCTCTTTATATGATTTTTCTGTTTGTTCCCCTGTTTGTATGTGTTTGTATGAGTTGTCCTGTAGGTCTAGGCAGGGGCGGATTTAGGGCGATGGAAGGGGCGAACCCCTTCACCAGAAAATGACACTGTGCATATAAGGCAAAATCCGTTTTGTGGCTATGTATTATATTTTGAATCCCCTTGACACAGCCCAAAAGCATAGCTCAATGGTCAGAGGGGTTCAAAACGTTTGTGAGGTCGCTGAACCACTAGCCACAATCTCTTTTAATTATTAAACTTTTGCTTTTTTGAACTCCCGTAGTGGAAATCCTGCCTCCGCAACTAGGCCTAGGTATCGGGCTCATCCTAACTACTATTTTTGGCACGGAGCATATATATGTGTGTGTGTGTGAAAACCCACTATAATTTCAATTAATATTAGATCTAAACACATAATTTAAATTGTACTATTAGTTCAGTGTTAAAAGCGTTGGAATCCTTAAAGGTTGGACCCATCCCTGGCCGTAACAACTTCTTGAGTAGGTCTTCTAAGGACATTAGAGTTCTGATTCTGATAGGTGCGCCTGGGCCTGTTTGTTGCGTCAAAGTCTTTTGTTCCTATTAGACTAAAAGCGTTGGAATCCTTAAAGGTTGGACCCATCCCTGGCCGTAACAACTTATTGAGTAGGTCTTCTAAGGACATTAGAGTTCTGATTCTGATAGGTGCGTCTGTGCCTGTTTGTTGCGTCAAAGTCTTTTGTTCCTATTAGACCCAAACTTAGTACTTAGTAGAAGTGGGTAGCGGGTAGACAGTTTATATGCCCTTAAGTGGTATTACCAGCCATTCCGTAGGAGCAGTTGATTTAGCAATTTTAGTACTCTTTAAGCAGAATGGCAAGAAAGCAGCAGTGCCACGACGACACAAAAGATGACTTGTCATATAATGGTCGGTGGAATGTCCTCACTGCGTTCGTGCTTGGGTAACTCACTTCATGTGTTTAGAGCACTGATTATGAAGCCTTTTAGTCTTATCTCACCTTACATTATATAGCATACACCACATGGCATGCTCAGGAGTACTGCTTTGCTCTGCACTTGTAACCAATTAACTAGACCAAGTAAGTAAGGCTGTTAGGAGCAATATCTGAATTATTCCCATATGGTAATTAGGTGGGATTGTGCTTTGCTTGAGCGGAGAGAGGGTCTATCAGAAACAACCTCTCTACCTTCGCAAGGTAGGGGTAAGGCTGCTACACACTACCCTTGCCAGACCCCACTTGTGGGATTACACTGGGTTTGTTGTTGTTGTTGGTAATTAGGCGGGAATAATGATAAATAGTGGTCAAACACTAGGGAAGCATATTGTAATTTGTAAATCCTCTTTTCTGAATCCCCTTCCATACGTGTTGATAGTGAGTTCTACAAGTAATGTTATCTTCTCATGAGTTGGAGAAAGAAAACTTTTCGAACTATGTTTTTGCTATTTGCCCACACTATTTAATGGTTATCACTAATGTATATATCAAATTGTAATTGCTGCAGCTTGTAATGAGCATCTTTTTGATATCATAGTCGCCTATGGGGGTATCTATCATGGCGGTGGCGACATCTAAGAAAAAGAGTGTCTTTGTTGATGGGGTATGCAAATGCATAGTAGCTAAATATCACAATTTATTCTCTCTTTAGAGAACATTCATGTTTATTGTTTGCTGAACATTTGAGAATGGAATTGCAGGTAACATGGGGAATAAAGGTGAAACAGCTGCCATTTATGGGGATCATGTGTACAGTTATGTTGTTTATTGTGTATAGGACCACTAATTATCAGTATCAACAGACAGAGGTATGACGGTTCTATTATTGATTTCTTAATATTTTGTCGCTTATATTTTGGATAACAATTGAATGTCTAATATAAGAGATAAGCTGATTGCTATGTGAGAGAAAAGAATTGCTCATTCGACCTTTTAATGCTCTGCCTGAGAACTATGCCGACACTTTGCTGACAACCATATTTTCCTGTTTACCTTTTCAGATAGAGTCGAAGTTAGACCCCTTTTACTCTTCAAAGGTAGCTGCATTCCTATTCTATTATCTATATTTCTTATTACCTTTAACAGCAAATGTATGGCAATGGTGTTGGCAAACAGAAATTGCAAGAATCTCTATAAATTTATTACTGGCATTTGTAATTGTCTGTACGAAAATGACACCATATTAGCTTCCGGTTCTTGCATGAGCTAAAGTATTCAGCAAAAACATTTCATATCAATGGTACTCTTAAGTTTTTCTGTTCTTTCATGCAGGATTCCGATGTGGATATCACACGTTTGAACAGTTTGCCTCGTGGTATTAGTCAACCAAGCTCAGATCTGGAGTTAATGCCTCTTTGGTCTACAAGTGGTTCGAGATCCAAGGTCTATCTCTTCTCCTTAATTGCGGAATAAATAGAGCAGCCTCCTTTAGTATTTCTAATTATCGTTGTTATATGGGATTAAAACTAGCCTTTCTCTTCCACTCACGATCTTTCACTCGGTATGTTTCCATTTTCAGGCTAGCATTTCTAGCTCTCGCAACCTGTTGGCAATTGCAGTTGGTGTTAAACAAAAGAGCAATGTCGATGCTCTTGTCCAAAAGGTATAACATCTTACTTGTCTTTCTTCTGGAAAAAACTTGTAATTGACTATCTGTCCGGCTTTCTATCATATCTGATGCCTGATTTACTTTATTCAGTTTCTTTCAGAGAATTTTACGATCGTCTTGTTCCACTATGATGGACATGTTGATGGCTGGTGGGACCTCCAATGGAGTAAAGAAGCCGTTCATATTGTTGCAAACAACCAAACAAAATGGTACGAACCATTGTCAATGATTTGGAATTAGCTGAAATGTCTATAGTTTGAAATCAGAAATTGCTGTCTACCTAATCCTAGGAAAGGGGGGGGGGCTTTCATTATCTTTATTTGTGGACGACTGATTGTGGTGCTGTCAACGAAAGCAGAGAAGAGTAGTCGTTTGGTTTCCAATTGCTGGATTTTGTCTTTCCTCGTATCTTATCGTGGACAGTCTGCAACCTGTTGCTTAACAGATGATAACCTCTATTGCTTTTGACATTGAAAAATGAATTGAAATCCAATTATATAAGTAGCTTTTCTTTAACTTATATTTGCCTTGTAACTCAATGATTGGAAGGTCTATGATAGGCCTTCATTTAATGCAAAATTTCCGTAATATGAATTTCTATGACCAGCTTGTATGTTTATGAGGTAGAAGAGCTTATCAGTGCTTTGATTTAATTTTGAGGTAGGTGGTTTGCGAAGCGGTTCTTACATCCTGCTGTTGTTTCTATCTACGATTACATTTTCCTTTGGGATGAAGATTTAGGCGTGAAGAATTTCCACCCTGGAAGGTAAAACAATTACATAAAATATGTTTTGTTTTGTTTTGTTTGTTTGTTTAAATTTTGTGTAATCAGCATGTAGAAATTTGATACAAATTTTTACCTCAACTCCTGGTGGAATATTGATGACGAAATACAATCAACTTTTTGCCACAAATAAGCTGGTCTAATATTGTTATCGCAACTATGAATCATTTTAACTGTAAGAGGCAAGTGTTTTGATTAAAAGATCCATAGTTGTTTATCATATTTACGGTGGTCTTACAAGTCCCTTTGGTAATTTATTTTCCCTATTGGATCTTCTCTTTTCATTCAGGTACCTCAAAATTGTGAAATCAGAAGGATTGGAAATTTCTCAGCCAGCCTTGGATCGGAACTCAACTGATATACATCATAGAATCACAATAAGAAGCAAGAAAAAAAGGTTCCACAGGTGAGCTGTGATAAAATCCAACTCTTCAAACTTAATGTTTTGGAATATTTTGGGCGAATATTAATGCACCTTTTATTTAAGCAGAAGAGTGTATGATAGTAGAGGTAGCACAAAATGTTCAGATGAAAGCGAAGGTCCGCCATGCAGCGGGTAAGTTTTATGCAATTAGGATGATTACTATTATTCTTAGGCTATATCTTGCTTTCTCTTTGATTGAGTTAATGGATATACCAAGCTTTTATGTTCTATAAATGGGAATTTTTTAAAGAATTTGGAGAAAATTTTGCTTCAAGCGTCTCTCAAATTTGATGAAATCTTTTGAGTTGCTTCGTAATCTACTATAATGAGTTTTATCCACACTCTTATCTGCAGATTTGTGGAAGGAATGGCTCCAGTCTTTTCAAGATCTGCTTGGCTGTGTGCTTGGCATCTTATACAGGTAAACTTGTGGTTTCTATCATATAGCTGACATCCCAATTTTCAGTTTTCAGACTTTTGTTATTGCACTAATAAATTCGCCATAGTTCTTGTCAAGACAAAAATAAATCTATGTCCTAATCTTTATCTGATTTGACTGGCCCATCCTGGACTTGAACCAGAGACCTCGCCCGTGAATCAACATTCTTTGCTTGTCCATTTTCTTACCTGCTTTCTTTTTTCTTGCCGTGCTGATTCAAACTATCGGAATAAAATTCTAATTACTGCTTCTTCCTATCAGAATGATCTTGTTCACGGATGGGGAATGGATATGAAACTTGGTTATTGTGCACAGGTTAGATTACTTCTTTATGGCTGCAAGGTTTCGGTTCACTTTAATTTTACTTGTTTTATTATGATCTGTAAAAATTCCTTTAGATGCTTTGTTACTCAGTTTACTCTAATAGAATGGTAAGAGCTTTCATGTCCGTTCTCCTTCCCTAGAATTGATGCCTCAGTGTCAACCACTAAGTACATGTTTTCCTTCCTTAGGATAGAGACCTCCTTTCTCCAAAAGAATGTATATGTTTATTTTACCTTTTGATTACTTGTGGCAACTTTAGATTAATTCTTGGTATGTAGATATCGCCCCCCCCCCCCCTCTGCACTTTACGACAGCACAGAGTTGCATGATATTTGAATTCTTTCTGCTTCTTCTCTAGTTACTTGGGATTAATTTAAGCTATGTTACAGGATGGAACAAACTCTGTTTAGAATGCTGTCATTATTATTTGGAAGTAGGCATCCATGATTCTAACTTGCGTGAAACTTGACATTGTTGTAGGGCGACCGAACCAAGAAAGTGGGAGTAGTTGATAGTGAATATATAGTCCACCAGGGCATTCAAACTTTGGGAGGGCCATCTTTGAAGAAGGTAATGTTCTGCACCACATCCATTTTATCTTTGAAGAAGGTAATGTTGTGCACCACAATTTTCCTGTTGCTCCAAGGTTCCCCCAAAAAAGTGTCGTATATAATTGCACTCAGGTTCTTATTCAAAATTTAGTGTAGGATAAGTATTGATAAAGTTTGGCTCCTATTCACTATTGAGTTTGTGCATTATATTTACACAATCATATTACTTATAAGTTAATTACTAATTCCTCCGTTCCAGTTTATGTGAACCTATTTCATTTTTGGTCCGTTCCAAAAAGAATGACCCCTTTCGAAATTTGGAGACAATTTAGCTTAAACTTCCAATTTACCCTTAATGAGAAGTTTTTATAACCTCAAAAATATTGTGGACCCCTTTTTTACTTGTTTAGGACTACAAATTCAAAAAGTCTTATTTTTTCTTAAATTTCGTGCCCAGTTAAACGGGTTCACATAAATTGAATGGAGGGAGTAGTATTTTTCTATGATAAGCATTAAGTGGCAATCTAATAAAAACGGTAACTGATCTACTATAGTAGGTTAAATTATATTGATTATGGTAAAAGTATTTACATAGCAGTGTATATAACTTTAACTCTTACCGATATTACAATGTTGTATGCACCGTTCATTTGCCTCCACTGATATTGGTTCATGTTTGTACAGCGTTCAAATCTTGAAGAGTCTGTGAAGGTATATAACATTCTACTTCTCCTTTGTTTAGGCAGTTTGAGAATCTACAACGTTAAACTTTTTCTGATTCTTGTCTGTCTTTCTTTGTTTTTGCTTTTCTCTTGGCCTGCAGAGACACGACGTTGACGTGCGATCCGAGGTGAGACACTGCTTTTAATATCCTGCTACACTACCCCACATTTCAACCAAAAATGACTTAGAGTTTAAGTTATACAGTTTTCTTCTTAAAGAGAATGCCGAGTGTTTTAGCATTCAATTCATAATTTCAATGCAGATTCGAAGACAGTCAACGCATGAGCTACAAATATTTAAGGATCGGTGGGAGCGAGCTGTTGAGGAAGACAAAAACTGGGTGGATCCATTTGAAGCTAGCAGACGGAAACGTAGACAACGGCTTAAACAAATACGAAAATTAAAGATTAAGCTAAAAGACGATGTTTAACGGTAAGCAAAGACGCTAATACTGCTTGATCAAAGACAATAATACGAGGTTAAGCTTGAGCCAAATATCATTATCGTCATGTCACTTGACCGCACCCGTCAAGTTGAGACTTGTAAATTATTATTTTGTATAGGCCTATTGAATCCCATTATTAGTTCATTGTTTCATGGTTGTGATAAGTTCTCCAGCCTTTTTTTTAATATCATTTTTTATTGGAGAAAAATTGGATGTGGGCCCATTTTGTGGGTCCGATCCCACCTTGTGACATAGTGACATGTCAGCTAGTTCGAACTGTATGGGGAGTATATATTCGTAGCTACTACAGTTTCTTTGTGCACAATGTGATATGATTTTAGGGGCCGTTGGTTGATTTTCTTGAATGAGTAATTTCAGCATGGAATTTTGCATTAGACATACAATGTTTGGTTGGCTGTGTAAATTGGTTGGTTGCATGAGAAAAATAATGAGTTTTTTTTACTTTTAGTTTGTGGCAGAAATTATTTATATTTGGTACACAAAAAAATGTATATAAGATATAGAGTGTATATGTATATTTATATATAAAATATATATTTTCTTTATTTTAAGAGCAGTTATACAGTGTTATTTTACCTGCATATATCTCTAATATAGTAATATTGCAGCGTTTGTTTTGTTGTATCAAATATTACGACTAGAAATCATTTCATATTCCAAGCATGAAATGGACCAAACGGTCAATTCTACATTTTTGCGATCCGAGGTTGCACAAAGCGACATAATATTTTAAGGGTTTATTGGAATCCTTTAAATAATTACATTAATTATTGAAATTTACATAATTATTGTTTGGAAAAAGTAAAGTTCCAGGATGCCGGCTTCTATTTTTTTACAGTTTTAATTTTGTCTCGTTATACTGTGGAGTCATCATACTAAACGATTAACGGAGGACAATTTGCACATAGTTCTTGTTCAGGGATTTGCATATTATACATGCACGGTTAATGAGATTATGAATGAATAATTCAAATCTCTCGTGCTAAGTGTTTTTTCAACTATTTGGCTATTAATATCTCAGCTCTGAATTGAGACATTAACAAGCCTTTAATTTGCTGAAATGGGTAGCCGTTACAATTGCGACGCTTTCGCTGAAGAAGAAGCAGTTAACCCCATAGCCGTAAGCTCCTTTCTCTTCTCATAGCACATATCTCTTTTGCATGAAACTTAATTATGACACCAAAGCCATGTCCAAAAGCAGTTTGTTAGGTTACGCGCGTTGCATGTGTGTCCCGTCTCATGAAATAATTTTTTTTAAAGATGACATAAATATTATATTAAAATTTGTTGTGAAACAAAAATGTAAGATGAAAAACCTGATTTGCCTTCTTTTGCTAATTATAAGTTAAGTTCTCAAGTTATATAAAATAAAATATAAAAAAAATTTGAAGGAGAAAATTACAAATAAAATTGCATTCACAATCAAGGATAAATGACACAGCTAATAAATAATAAATTTTAAATAGATAATATTAAACAAAAGATTACTTGAATAAGTTTATAACGATGATCAGTTATCAGAGTGATCAATCGATTCATTAATTAAATTATTTGGGTGCATAATAATCTAGGAATATTCTGTCTTTGAAAGTGCTGGTATTGGGTAATAATTTGGGATCACAATTTGTCAATGATCATCTATCTTACAATTTACCTATGTATGTCCTCCCAAATAATGAAATAAACTATTAAAATAAGTCACATATTTGATCAATATGACTTACCATTAGGAATTTTTGTTTGTTTAAATCCTAATATTATGATTCCAATAAATTTCAAATAAGATAAGATTTATATAAGATATAATTTTAGTTGATGTGAAAGTCCTGATTATTAGAATTTTTATTCGTTTAAAATCCTAATATTATGATTCCTATAAATTTCAATTAAGAAAACATCTATATGATGTGAAAGTCCTATCTGTTAGGATTTCTGTATATTTTTATTAAAGAAAGATAAATAATATTTTAGTTAATTTTATTCTAAATATTAGAAAAATAATTAAAATACGATTTTGTCCAATAAAAAATTTATTCTTAAAGTATAAAAAAGATAAACAACATTTCGCCAAAGGACTTCAAACTTTTAATATAATATAAATTTTTCT